TGTTGTATATTCAGATGTATTCCATCCATTTTGATGTCAAAATAAATTGAAGAAGAAGTGCAGCCCAAATAAATGGGATGAATAAATTTTTGAAAAAAAATTTGGCAGTATTCATTTAGTTATTGTCAATCAGGCTTTTTTTTTTAAACCTTTTTTTGACATTCATGCTCTTTTACAGATTGGAAAAATAGAGGAAGCAGATGATTTTCTCTCTCCTGTCTCACAATCTGCCCTGTCCTCTCGCAGTATATCACCTGTCCCAAAGACCCCAACCAGTTCAACCACTGGTCTTGCTGCAGAGTTAATGACATTTGCCAGTGTGAGTTCCTGCTGCCAACCTCAACAGATAGAATCATGTCACATTATCTAGCATGTTTGTAATCTTGTGAGAGCACAGCTGTTGGTTTGGTATAAAAATTGTGTTGACTCGTGATCTTGGGAAGCATGGTGGTAGTAGTGTTGCTGATAAATTGATTCATTATATTAGCATGGCGACCACCAGCACAGTTTGTGTGATTCATGTTTATGTAGCATGTTCCAATTTTACCAACTGTCAGAAATAAGGTAGTGGGGTGCACTGAAAGCTCTCTCAATGCATGACATTACATACTGATTAATTGAAACATCAATCTCAGTATTATGACAAGCCTTACTAATGTATGACACAGGTTTTTGCATGTTAAAACTAACATATTGATGACCACAGAAGGAGAAAGCAAAAAGAGTTTGTGGTGGTGAGACAGGTATGCTAATATTAATTAATCATTTCATAATTCTAGCCCAGTCCTGAAGCAGTCTTACCAGAGACATCTCCCACCACCAAACCAAATATTAGTGTTCTTGCACCTCCCTCCATGGGTAGCAATGACAGCCCTATAGGGCTCAGTGAAGATTCCAACTCACAGCCCCCATTTGAGACAAAAATTGATGTAACAGGTAATACTGATGGGCACATTTCACATCCTTTGTTCAGTCCTTGTTTTTGTCTTGTTTTAAATTCAGGCAGAAAATATATATGGAACATGATTTTACCTGGTTTGAAGTAGATTTCAGAAGGTTATATGGGAAATTCAAATTATAAACCACATTAATTGTGATAGATATACTAGTTAAGTGATGAGATTTAAACTTTCAAGTTTAAAAACATCACATAATTAAATAAGATTATTTGAATGTCTATGGCTTCTTTTTCAAACAAAACATGTTTTGTGTATATCACCATAAGGGTGATGCTTTTGTAGTGATGCTGTCCTTTTCATGGGTTTGTCAAAAATGTGATAGTTTTGTTTTTAATACAGAGTCATCTGCTCCTCTGGAAGAGAAACCTAGTTCTGGTGCTGCTCCACAAGAAGTTCCCCAAGAATCAACAGAAGCAGATCCTCACAAAGCACATAAAGCAAAGAAGAAGAAGAAGAAAAACAAACACAAGCACAAACATAAACATAAGCATGAGAAAGGAGAAAAGGGAGAAAGACCTGTTGACAAGGCAGACAAGTCTGTAGATAGGAAAGATAAAACATCTGAAGATGTTCTTCAGAAATCAGATTCAGCTCATCACTTAGACATGTACTCGAGGTCTCCAGATCTGGATGAGCCAAGTTCACCTGAATTTGAAGTAATGTGATATTGATGGTATTCATGTGCTTTATTCAGGGAGTATGTATCACAATGGATGTTCTTTTAGGGAGCAGTTACAATCTGATATTATTGAAATACACGAACTACAAGACAGTGAAATAAAACAGTTAACAAACAAGACAGTGAAATAAAACTGTTAACAAGTGTCATTAATGCAAAGTATTTCAGTAAACTGGGTTTATAAAAAATAATTCGGTTTTAATATTATCTTGTTTTGAAGATAAATTTATGATGTCAGTATGATCTGGCAATTAATTGGTAGCATGATTGTATAATAATGACAATTATGATAAATAAAATAATGACAATTTAAATTATTATGATAAAATAATTATGTGCATTAATTCAAAGAGTGGGTAATTAAAGTACATAAGAAATTTGGAACTACAGATGATTTAACCAGACAGCAGGAACTTTCACAGTAAAAAATAAATAAAAATTGTTTGTTAATTTCTGTGGGATTGTTGGTGTAACAGAGGTCTGAACTAAGTTGTCTCTGAGATTGTTTAGTCTGGCAAAAATAAAGCTATGGAACATTTACCTAACTGCCCTCAACATTTACAGGATATAGTGGAATTTCACACTATTACCAGTTTTTTAAGGAGGGGAAAAGATACAATAAGAGGGGCCAATTATGATCGAGATATCATATGATATATATTAAATGTTTAGTGTGATTTTTATTTATTTTTGATGTTCATAAAGTGATACCCTTAATAAATCAACAATAAGTGTTAATTGTTTTTTTTTAATTGACACCATGCATTGAGTTTTAAGCTTGTTGAATTTTCAAGGTACGTGGCATGTAATTGATGTGATAATTGCTCTATGAATTAAATGCATTTTTACATTTTCCATGCTTTTCCTTAAATGCACAAAGTTGGGTCCAACTCATTCATCATTCATCTAAAAAAAAATATTATGTGAAAATAGTTTCATTGGATCTCAGTTTTGATAGTGAAGAAAATTTTCAAAGAAACAGTCAACAGGTAAACCAAATATCTGGATCTATCATAAATGAAAACCTTGACTATAAAAAATACTAATACAAACATTTTCAAAGTTCCAAATTTTTATAGTCTTGATTAAAATTTGCCATCACTGCAAATGAAAAAATTTTTCTGATAGAGAAAAAGTGACTACCAATTCATAGTTCTAAGTACCCATGTAAAAACAAAAAACGTCCCTTGTGCACCCGTGAAGAAAAAGCTCTTGCCACACATCGGTAGCCTAGATCTTCGTGCATAATATATTTTATATTAAAACACTTCTAGACGACCGCGTTTTGCACTATATTGACGACCTAAGATGAAGTGTAAACTGAATATTTACGTAAGGGGGTCAGAATAGAGGCTTTTGGTTAGACCGGCGGATGTTGATAGTAAATTTGTAGTGACACATCACAGACGTGTATATTCGCCTAAAAACAAAATCTTTGTAATCCTAAAATTTCAAGAAATGTTGATGTCAGGTTGAGATAATTAATATTTTTCATCTTGTTTCATTTTTGATTTCGCTAATCTATACATACCTCTTAATTTGAGGTGTGATGTGAGTGAATTGCGTAGTAGACGTTTTGTCAGTGAAAAGTCACCCAATGAAATTAATGCGCTTCATGAATGGAAATTTTATATTGCAGAGGTCGCTGCTGCATACAATTGTAAAAACTATCTAAATTTCTCCTCAATCAGTTGAGATTTTAAAAACTACTCATTAAATATATTGGAGCATTTTCTCCAGTTATTTCATTCTTTACTGCCATGTGTTTCATAGTTGTACTATTTTTATTAGCCTCCAGATATGCCAGAAATGCACCGGCTTTGAACACGTTAGAAATGTGGCGTGATCTGAGGTCAAATATATTTATGCAGAGGCCAATGGCTGCGCTCACTCCCTCTTATAAAGAGAAGTATCTGTGTCAAACTATCCAAAGTTAGATCTTACTTTGCATTTTGGAAATTTTTAAAAAGGGAAAGATAAAATTGTTGATTTTATCGGGTAATATGTCAATCAAAATCAATACATTGCAATAATCCTTTCGACCAACTGTACCATAATGGGGAGGGAAGCTGTGACATGGAAGTACCGTATGACTGTTTCCAGTCACCCCATCTACTTCGCGCCCTCTGTCTGTTACATTGACAACAAAATAGGAGCTGTTGAAAGGTTGAGAACGGTAGTTATACACCCATTTTATCTCTGACAGCCGAGGTGGTACATTACGCCAAGAAACAATATAATGAAAAGGCCGAGGAATATCATATTTTGCTGTCTAATATACTTTTTAGTGAGCACAGAATCAGTGAGAAGTAAGTATAATGTTGTTGTTGTACATCGTTAGTATGTACACATGGCCTGATGGTGATGGGCGTGTGCATATTGTGCGATTGATGTAATTTTTTCCGTGTTTTTGACATTTAATGGATGTTATTTTACAATATTACTAAAATTTAATCCTTAAGCTTCTCAAATTGTCACACGTTAGATAGGTTTTGCAACATTTCCATTCACAAAAAGCCATGAGAATTCGGACAGTTAATCGGCCTTAGAGGTCGGACCTCCATAGCATTGATCGCCGACACGTACTCGAACGAGAAATCGATTCTTGACTGAACCATACTTTGTCTCAATTTAAACTTTTGTTGTACCGATTCATACGAATCTGATTTTGTTGTAGTTCTGAAAAATAGGAATTGTGTTGTGGACTAAGTGGTGGTTCAAGTTAACGTGTACTGTGAAGCCTACACAGCATTATATTTTAATGTTAAGCTGGTTCGTGACACGTGCCAACCTTGGCTTTGGCCAAAGCAGATAAGTTGCTCATAGAATCAGAATGATGAAAGATTTATCTAGACCAGTCATAGCGTTCGATGACTGTCTCAGGTAACTATGGATTAAAAAAAGTAACTGGCACTCATACTGTAAAATGCGTCGGTGATTTATAAAATATATTTATCAGACATGAGCTTTTCCACAGAAAAGTGGAATTCCACTTCCAATTCTGATGGTTCTTGAGTTTCCTCAAGGTTAAGTTTTGGGTCCCATGATAAATGTTCAGAGGTTTTTTTTAAACCTAGGCTCATGTCTAATTTATTAAGAGACTGTGATTGCCTCTCAGGTAAGAAAGCTGGCCTTGAGACGAAATGATGTATTTAAGTAACATGTAAAGAAAAGAAATAAATCACAATTACTTCATTTGATGTGACCCCCCCTATTTCACTTAAAAATACCCCTACATTTTCATAATAAAATGTATTGATGATATAGCTGTTCAAAAAGGACTTTGGAAAAATTTTTCCTTTTAAAATTCCATTTTGCATTATGTAATTTTGTGTTGAATTGATTTATCATCACCATGTCTTGAGAATAAATGGTGTGGACAACAAGCCATGAAAATGGCAAACATACTTTTCACACTAGTGTTATCAGTAACTCATGATGTGTGTGACCTGCCTGCAGATGAACTGGGGCGGATGGAAACTGTCTTCTGGGTCTTTGGAAAACAGTGGGAAGTTTTAAGTTTACATTGATGGATATCTAATTTTTTCCTACCGGTAGACGGTCAAAAATAAAGGATGGATCAACAATGATGAATATCCCTGGATCTGCCCTAGATGAAAGCTATCATATAGGGTTTAAGGGGGGGGGGGTCCTCCCCCAAGAAGATGTTTGGAAAAAAACTAAGGACAAATGAACTTCAGAGTATTTTGGTGACATTTGAACCAAAAAAAAAAAAAAAAAATTGGAATTAAATTCGTTTAATGTTCCTTAGAAGGACCACCACCTGATTATTTTGAGTCTTATCAGTAAACAGTTTGCATTACATTCTCAAGAGCAACGCAAATAAAGTATAATATGTGCTTATATATATGTTTCAACACACCTCAATCTAAATTGTCCTTATTTTACTAAATTTTCCTGTAAGGAAAAAAAATGGGACTGTGCATATACACATGTATATGAGCACAGTAAGCGTGTCCTTGTTGATTAAATTTGAATAGTTTACTAACTTTGGATTCTGGGTGCTTTCTTGCATATACAAACCGCACAGCCTTGGTGGCCATTGTTTTGATTTACGATCTCAGGGCAAGTGCAAAAAGTTGAAAACAAAGCTGTGTGTTGAGAAGTTCAAAGTAAAATGGATGATAAGTTTTTTGGCTCTGACAAAATGGCCTAACACATGTACAGGGATGCTTATCACCTGCATCTAAAATTTGAGATTGTAAAGTATCATTACTNTAATACACCACTAAATGAGCGCATATGCGTTTATTGTTCTTGTAATGAAATAGAGAGTGAGAAACATTTTTTAATTAACTGTGAGCTCTATAAAGACATCAGAGAAGAGCTTTTTAACCTTGCAAATCAAATAGACGGAAATTTTAATGTTTTTAATAACTATGAAAAGTTTATATTTCATATGCAAAACGAACAAATACAATTTTATACAGCAAAAAAAGCACATGCAATGATGTGGAAAAGAAGCAAAGTTAACAACAAAGAGAGGGTTTAAAGTTTTATTTATAATATCCTTTTTTACGTATTTTATTGATAAGTAACAATTTTAATGAACTTCTTTGAATTTTAAATGCAGTAGCACGGGTTTTAGTCTCTCATAACCCTTAGCAGGGTGGGTTTTTTTTATTTAAAACGTGAGACGTTAATAAAATTATTATTATTATTATTACTTCTGTTTAGTGAAAGGGTCCATATTTCTAATTTGGTGGAGAAATGTGTTATCTGTGAATCTATCTGCCATCCCAGCAATCTTTTGACTTTAACTGTTCATCTCTCTTTGTTGTTACAAACTTGTTGAAACCCAAAGAGTCTCTCTCTCTCTCTCTCTCTCTCAGATATTTTTTATAACTGGATTAATTGATTTGTAATTTTACTGAACATAAATATAAAATCTGTAACAGGGGCATAACTTGTATAATATTTTGTATAACGTGACATGCTTTATGAATTTGCCACTATCTGCAATGAAAAAAGCAGATAGCTTCTGGAATATTCCACTGTAACATGTTTTGCAGGATTCATAAGAAACTTGAAATTGATAAATGAGCTATTAAAATGAAAGGACAACATGAGTACATTTTCATTTTTGGTTGTACTTTTCTTACAGAAGAACAAGTTTTTTTTAATAGTAGTGTTATGTTAAGAATGGAAGGAAGTACTTAGTTATTGATGTTCATTGTTTTTATTTCAGGTCAGCAGTGTGGGAGCAATCAGTTCACTTGTGCTAATGGAGACAGTTGTATACCCAACAGTTGGAAATGTGACGGAGCTGCCGATTGTTTTGACAAGTCTGATGAGGCAGACTGCCAGCATAGTAAGTTTTCTGATTGCTCTTGAATAAAAAAAATGTCATCTTGGTAGGAAATCACAGAAGTTCCATTGTTAGAAAAATAATGTACAGTAATTGTTGTTTCTGCATATATGTGGGCATTCCTTGGTATTTGTATCATGGTCATGAAATATTTGGTTAAGGAGATTCTGTGCCACTCCCTACCAGTATTAAGGATCTCCATATGTGATCTTATATTTATTTTACATTTTAATCTCCTGTTAATTTTTAATTAAATTCATTAAAATAAACTATTATTTTGCATGATATTAATACATATTTAAATTGCACAAAATTGATTAAAAAACTTGCTTAAGTTGAATACCAAGAAGTGTGCCCCCTTAACCTTGATATAAACAGCAACATTTAAAATATGTTGCTAAACTTCTGATAAATTTGTTTCTTAGGACTATATAAAATCAAATTTACCAATATGGATATGGTTTTAGAAATAGAATGTTGTTAAATATACTCTGCAGGTTGGCTTGCTTAAAGAAATGTAATCCTTCAGTGAACTCAAGACTTCACACTGTATGATAATTGTAAAAAGAAGTATCATGCTTGTGTAACTTATCAGCACAATAGAGGGTTGCTTAAATTACAATTTTAAGCAAACCTTCAATTTTTATGTATGCTGCTCACATACGTCCCTGACACAAATTTTTAAAGGGGAAGAACAGCTCAGGGTGAAATTATATTTGTTGTAACTTGTATCTTAAGTGTTGGTGAATCATTTTGAGGGTAGGGTATGTCCTCATAATAATTAATATTTTACTTCAAAGGGCTTGGGAGAAAACAGTAAGATTCTTCAGCTTAAGTAACAGCTTCATTTGAACATATTATGATATTTTGTTTTATCATGCTCTTCAGGGTTTTTTTTATCACATCTGAGAAAATATTTTTGATAAAATATTTCAATATTAACAATAAATACAACAGAATATTTATCTTCAGACATGAAATAGCAAAAGGATACTTTCAATTTTTTTCAAAATCCTCAGCAAATGAACCATACATGACATGAACCAACTTCCAAAATTTTTTTTCTTAAACTGCAGTGGAAGAAGTATAATTGCTCCAAAGACCAATGTAGTACATATATCACACAGTTTATGCCTAACAGAAGGTCCCCAAGTACAGTTAATAGGGTGACATTCCTTGAATTGCCTAAATAACCATTATACCCAGAATTCATACTAGGCGATTCTTTTGTCCTTAGTGGATTGCAGAGATTAATTGGTACATATTTAGTTTTGTAGTATCTCTTCCCGATAATGACAATTTAATCTTCTATATATCACAGTACATTTTGTTTTCGTAATATTTCAAGACACATCACACCGGTCATAAATATTTAACTTTGATCAGCATTTACTCTTACTGGTCTTGTGCCCACACATCTTGACTAACTTGAACTATGGTCTTAGCAGTTAACACCAATTCGGTTAGTTTATCACAAACAGCATTAATTGGGTACTCCAAAAGAAGTGGGCTAAGGTCATTATGTTTACACTTTGACAGTGCAAGGTGTTTTCAGGTTACAGATAAGTAGTATTTTAGACATTCAAGGTTGTAGGTCATTTACTGTGCGGGTCATGTGCTGGCTGAGACCTGCTGAGCTCTGATTGGTCAGAACACAACCTGCCGATGTTGCCTGACTAAAGGGAGGATGGGCTTCATTTGATTACCATATTGATTGCTCTAATATAGGCACTATCATGTGCTGTGTTGTTAGAGGTGCAACTAACCTTTTACACTAAATGGTTTCAATAACGTTCTTATACAGTTCATGACCTCAGTGTTGAAAAATGATATTTGTCAGGTATGCACCCATTTGTCATAACCCTGATATGAATTGAATATGAGATACTAGGTGGTTGGGAGGGGGAGTAAATAAATAAAAATGATATAGTCATTTCTCTTTTAGATAGGTATTTTGGCATCACTGTTTATATATATGTATATACATATTTTTTTTCATCCAATGACACATATTTTAACTTTTAGGGCCAGTAAATTGTACTGAAGGTGAATTCAAGTGTGCCAATGGCAGATGTATAATGGACAGATGGCTTTGTGATGGTGAAAAAGACTGTGCTGATAATTCAGATGAAGAGCAGTCTATGTGTGGTAAGTTGAAATGGAATATACACTTATAAAATAAAAAAACAGTGCTCATTTTTGACTAACAGTAGCCAAATTAGGCAATAATCATGATATTAAGGACCTCTATGGTGGTATAGGACTTAAGAAATTAATAAATAAAAATTAAGTACATAATATTAAAAGGAAGAAGTTTGGACTTGTGATTTTAGTTTTGTTATTTCATTATTTGGTTTTTCCACCAGGTGAATAAAGGGAATTTGTTCTTAGGATAAGGGTATTCAATATCGGTAATTTATCAACAAAAATTTAACTTGAGAGGTATATGGATAAATGGTTAGATAAATATTTGAATAATATAAAGATGAATGACAAATTATTGAACATAAAATATTCTCAAGTTATAACACAGATAAATGTAATGCATAAAGAGGGCTACAGGTGTGGTATGAGGAACAGTGGAGATTGGACTTTGACCTCAGAAGGGTGGAATGCACTTGGCAGTTTTATATAGGATGATCTATTCATAATTTTTAGACAAGAAAATACTAACATCTGCTCATTTGGAATAAATGAAGGCATACATTGATTTGTTTGAATGTTCAGGTTGAACTTAAGTAAATAAATAATTAGCAGTTAGTTTCTACTTCTCTCTTTCTGATTAGGAAAATTTGCTTACCTTTTAGAAAACAGAAAATGTCAAGAAAATCACTTTAGCTGTGGTAATGGAGTCTGCATACCAGCATCTTGGAAATGTGATGGTCAAAATGACTGTCCTCAAGGAGACGATGAAACTCCTGAACAATGCCGTGAGTATCTGTTCAAATTCTTCCCTCTTTTCTGTCTCCAGGTGGGGATTTACACTGTGCTTGACAATATATACACTAAGCTGGTGAGCTTTAGAGACTGGTCCAAAGGTCAAAGTACACTGTAGCTAAGCTCAGTCATTATAAATGCAGACAGGAAGTAATCAAGATTGGACTTTGTCCTTACATTTACCTAGTGTCCATTGTTATCAGTACAGCAGATATTAACTGGTATCTGATACCAACATGAAGATATTGGGCTTCCATGTGTTGATATTGTTTTGTTTTTATTATTCTGTAGCATCTAGCAGCTGTGGCCCTGATGAGTTCAGGTGTGCCGTTAGTGATAAATGCATCACTTCCAGGTGGAAGTGTGATGGAGACCAGGATTGTGGAGAAAATGATGCCTCTGATGAGGAGAATTGTGGTAAGTTCCTACTAGACCTACCAGGCAAGATTTGATCAAGGGGGTCTCTTACATGATTTTATGCAGCTGTAAAATGTTCTCACATTTCTTGTCAGGAATGTGAAGTGAAGTATATGTGGGGTCACTTGGGGCACTGTTGTGATTGTCAGCCATGTGAACATTCATATTCAAATTAGCAGAGGTTAGAAAACACCATTCACTAGGATATCACATAGCTATTACTTGCCTGCAAATGCAGCTCCTTATTTACAGATAACAGCAAAGTCTTGTTTTAACTAAGGCATTTAAATGTTTATGTTGTAATATGGATATGATCTCTTAACCATGCCATCAAGTGATTTTGGTGTGATCTTTCTTTTACATTGCAGCCCCAACAACTTGCGCTTCCAATGAATTCAAGTGCTCATCATCTGATGCAAAGTCCCAGAAATGTATTCCACAGCGCTGGGTCTGCGATGGAGATATTGATTGTGAGAACGATGAGCAGAATTGTACTTCAAAAGAGCCCTCCCAGTCTCAGTGTAGCAACACGGAGTTTATGTGTGCAAATGGAGAATGCATTCACAACACCTGGAGATGTGATGGCTACGCTGACTGTGCAGATGAATCTGATGAAGGCCCTACCTGTAAGACATTCTTCCAGTTACTGATTTAGTACTGATTATTATCATAACTTGGGTTGTCACCAAGTCTCAGACATGAGCTTTTTCTGTGGAAAAGCGGAATTCCGCATTTTTTAGTTCAGTGCTGATGATTCCTGAGATTTGTCAAGGTTAGGTGTTGGGTCCCATGATATATGTTCAATTTTTTTTTTTTTTTTTTCTTTTTTTTTAAATCTAGGCTCATGTCTGAAGTCCGAACAAGAGAGTAGAAGTGTTGCAGGTTCTTTCATTGAATGAAAATTTCTGTCTGCTCTTTGCTATTTTTATATAGTAAAAAGATGTATTCAGAACTTAGTGTCTGTATATATTTATATTTAACTTCCTTTTTATTTTCATGTAGGTCCAGGAATAACCTGTGCTCCTGATCATTTTGCCTGCAAGACCAGTGGCTATTGTCGTCCCATATCTATGCGTTGTAATGGTCAGGTGGAGTGTCCAGATGGATCGGATGAGGAGCGCTGCAGTAAGTTTACAGAATTGAGTCTCTAATTAATGAACAGCTTGAACAGAATTAATGAACAGAATTGATTTTTTTCCATATGTGAAATCTTAGTTCTTAATGTGATATGTTCAGATCCTGATTATTTAATTGTAACTGCTTTATTGTGATTCTTATTAGTTATGGAATGCACACAAGAGCAGTTCAAGTGCAACGACGGGGAATGTATTGCCAATGACAAGGTGTGTGATGGCACCAATGATTGCTACAGCGGGGAGGATGAGGAGTATTCAATGTGCATGAACAGTGAGTATTATTATGGGATAATGTTTTCTTCAGGTGTTTTAAAGGCGTAACCTTTTGTTATCTATCATATAAGGTAAGGCTTTGAATGATTTTGTAATTTCATATATTAGTTAGAGGAATTTTATAGCAAAAATTTAAAAAAATGTATGTTTGTGCTTACAGAAGTCAATGAATGTGACACAAATAATGGTGGATGTATGCATCTGTGTATAAATACTGCAGCCTCGTATTATTGCAAGTGCCACGAAGGATACAAAATCTCTGCTTCAAACAACAAGACTTGTGAAGGTAAGTGAAAACATACATGTGAAAAGAGTGCTAAGTTGATGTGCATTTAGGCCAGCCAAAATTTGTAAGTTGGTTAACAAGCTCTTTGCGAATAGGGTCATTAGAGGTAATAGATTTAAATCTTTGAATTCCATGAATATATATGCATACAGATACAGGAAAATGTATAAATACAAATACAGGCATTTGCTCCAACTTCTGTCAGCTGCTTTCATTTGTGAGCACCAAAGTCTTGTGTTGAGGAATTATTGGACTGGCTGTTATTATTTGCAGACATAGATGAATGTTCTATCCTTGGTATGTGCTCCCATAACTGCACTAACCACAAGGGCTCCTACAGATGTGACTGCCATAAAGGATATAATTGGGATTTGAGACAGCGCATGTGCAAAGCTAACAGTACGTAGTTTATATATATATATATATATATATATATATCAACTTTTTGTTAATTAATAGTCGCCTTTAATGGGAACTGTACTTAAGTTCTGTTTTTATTACTTTTGGAAATTCATAGAAAATACTACACCTGCATTTTCTTATGTTTTATATGTTAACTGAAAGATTTGGCATTGGCGGGGAAAAGGGATCTAACCATTTGACTGTTTTAGTTCCAGATGCCCCGGTTTCCATTATGTTTTCAAACCGACATGATATTCGTCTGCTAACGCCTGTTACTGGAAAATACACACAACTGGTGAACAATTTGACCAGTGCAATTGCCATCGATTTTGATTACAGCAAAGGCACTATATTCTGGACTGATGTTTCAGATGAGAAAATTTACATGTAAGTGTGAATACTTGTGCAGCATTAAATGATGTTTTGATTGTAATTTTCTTAAAATTCTTAAAATGATAATACTTGGAAATTACTTTATGTTTAGGGTATTTTTCTCCTGTTATATGCAAATAATTAACATGGACTTCTTTTTTTGTCCAGGGCAACTGTGAGTAGTGATAAAGCTACACAAACAAGAACAGAGTTGTTTGGTACTGCCATGACTGTAAAAACTCCAGATGGCCTTGCCTATGACTGGATCCATAAAAACCTTTACTGGACAGATACTGGGAAAAATACCATCGAGGTTGGCAACATCGAAACAAAATGGCGCACGACTCTCTTGAGCTTAGCTCTAGACGAGCCCAGGGCCATTGTTGTTGATCCAGTTAATGGGTAAGTTCTGAAATAAGGCCAAGGGTGATTTTTTTTTCAATTTCTCATTGAGTTTAGAAGAAAGTAATACAGTTCATTTTCAGACTTAAAAAGATTTAGCCTAATGGAATTTGCATGCTTTTTTTTCTCCAGATACATGTATTGGACTGACTGGGGAGATACTCCCAGGATTGAGAAAGCTGGAATGAATGGCCAGGATCGCTTTTTTAAGCAAGATAGCCAAGGCAATATAAAGTATGGCCTTGTATCCAGCCCTGACGTTCTCTGGCCCAATGGTCTGACCATAGGTGAGTAGCTGCCATGTAGAAAAGGAAAAAAAGTTTTGGTGACAGTTTGTTTTGTTGTAATGGAACAATAGATTTAATCCTTTGCATCATGTGTTATTATTATTGATATAATTATTTTTTGCATTGCTTTACTTAAAATTATGTAGTCATTTCATGTGCAACATTTTGATTTCCAGATTATGTCAGCAAACGCTTGTTCTGGGTTGATGCCAAGATGCACTGTATAGGATCAGTGGATCTGGATGGACATGACGCCAGACAAGTATTGATGAGCCTGGAAAAACTGAAACACCCCTTTTCTATCACTGTATTTGAGGTTGGTAACTTTTCTTTTCAGTCTACTAGTCTGTTATTACATTTTTATCATATTGCTTATGCAAACATATATTACTGTAATTATGACTGTAACATCACTTTTCAAAAAAGTAATAGTCATGTACTCTAGGTCTATCCCTATCCATAGATAGAGATAAACAGATCTGGTTTGTATGTATTTTCAGGATATTGTTTATTGGGCAGACTGGGACACTGAGGGAATCCATGCCGCCAATAAGTTTACTGGTCATAATATCACTGATGTAGCCATCTCCCTGTACTCCCCTATGGATGTCCATGTGTACCACCCCTACAGGCAGCCAGCTGGTAAGTTGACCATTCACTGTGAGGGATAAATGCTAAACTTCTATAGAAAAAAAAATAGACTAAGACATTGGGAGATGCTTTGATTCTGATATGATAGTTTAGGAAGTGTGTGACCCATTAAAAACACACTTCTTTGTATTTCCAGGACACAATGTATGTGGACAGAACAATGGCGGCTGCAGTCACCTTTGCCTTCCTTCGAGTAATAAGGTACCAACATGTCACTGCATGGACGGGTACAAGTTGAAGAGTGACGGCAAGACCTGTGACACTTCAGGTGAGTGGGGAAAAACTGTGCCTCAGTTGAAAGCCTATGCACCTTTTAAACCTATAGTTGACGTTTTGATACACATATTGGACTGTTTATTAGTCAAGCAAGCTAGATAGTATTGAACCTCAGAGTTTTAAGTCCTGGAGTCTCACTAATGCTTGTCATGGCTAGCAATTTGTGGAATACTGTGGTTGTAAAACATGTCATCTGTAGTATAGAGGGAACTTTTTTCTAGATGTCTCTTTTTCTCTAGGAGTGCAATCATGGCCTTGAAATGCTGGCATGATAACCACTGCTGAAATTTTTCTCTTAAATTTTCCACATAGGGATTTCTATAAATAGTACTACGGTTAGTAGTAATATTACAACAGAGGCCTCGAGAAATGGTTCAACAACACCAAGTATTAATGGGTCAGGAAGGTTCAAATCTACATCTTCATCTACACAGGGTAGGAGGGCTATAGAGATTCAAATCAGTTGTTTATTTGTTCGGTCTCCCTTTGTTTTCAGTGGTAGTTTTCATGCTTGATTTTATGGGTCTTCCTTTGTTTTTTGTTTTTTTTTCTCCAGCCTTGTCATATTTGTATTCTATGTTTGATGTAAAAAACAGCAGATGAACCTTTAAAAAAATGCCTTTGGTTTATGCTTTCTCACAGGAACATAAACAGGCTTTTTGTGACTGTTTGCTTATGCTGCCTCATTCTTGTGGCAAATGCCTGCTTTTTCTCCCAAGTGAACCTCTATTCCAGACATGACCACCACCTGTTTTACTGTGCCCTTGTTATAATTTTTAGCTGGATTTTTCTTTTTGTTAAAAATAAAAATAAATGTATCCACAATTACACGTAGTTGATATGACAAGCATTTAGTGATTTTTGGTGGCACCTGTTTATTTTGACCACAATGTTTATCTTTTTGTGTTTAATGTTGCATGAGGCACTATAAATTAATCTGCATGAACATTTTAAGGTCACATTCTCAAGTGCTGATGGTTGTAACACTTCTCAATGTACATTTTTTCTCCAACGTTAATGGTCTGATTGCTGGAAATATTATGGTCTCACACTTCCCTTTTGTTAGTTTTGATAAATTTTTTCACCTGTCTTAGCATTCATTCTTTAATCGAACTGTAATGTGTGATAACCTAGACAGATTGCTTCCAGTCTCAAGTTTTGGCTCAAGATTTATAATGATTTTCTTCATTCTGCAGCTGTTGTAACTCCACCAACCACTACAACGTCTTCCTCAATCCTGGAAACCACGGAAGCAGAGGTTGTACAAAAGCATACGGAAGAGAACGTTGGGCAGATAGCAGGAATTGTCATTGGCATAGTTGGGGCTTTGTTCATCATTGGTGGACTGGTAAGATACTATTGATTCACTGCTAACTAGTGTGTGTGTGAGTGTGTGCGTGCGCGTGCATGCGTGCATGTATTCTGGATCCTTCATATCCCATATTATTGGGTACATTTTGCACTAATTACTTGGATATTAGAATGCGTGTATGATCTGTGCTTTAATGTGAAGTTTTGAGCAGGAAGAAATAGTAAATACATTCTTCTCTCCTATTTCAGCTTGGATACATCATATACAGGCAGTTTATGCGCAAAAATATAAGGAGCATGAACTTCGATAATCCAGTATATAGAAAAACAACAGATGATCAGTTTTCAATAGAGAAAAGCCAGTATCAGCCCAATCAAAACGTGCCAGCAGTAAGTATAATATGAACTTTTATTTAATTCTTTTGTGAGATAAATGGGACCTGGTGTTAATATTTGGAAGATTTAATGCCTTCTGCTTGGAAAAGATAATTACTATTCCAAAAAGTGGCAGGGTTACTAAGGACACATCCTCATCGAACACTGTTTAGATGCTTCCTCCTTCAGTTTTACAGATAGGTAAACATTTGATTCTTCATTCCAGTCATTACAACCACTAACAGGAGGAGATCAAGGAACCAATGAATTTGTATGAGAGTAACTTCACATTAAGAAGCTAGCAGGAGGAGAAGCCATGATATAGGTAGGAGGTCTGCTAATATAGGATCATCGATGGAAGGAGAGAGACCTGCAGTAGAGATGGCCCACCTGAGTTGGTCATTACGGAGACCTGTAAAAACTGTGCAATTGTATCTGAAACTATAATGGATGATCATTTCTTATTTATTATACAATGGGCCATTGAAACGCAGGCAGTTCACATCTGTGGAAAATAACAAGGGGAGATCTGTGGGATAGCATTATCTGCTTCTGTTCTAGCTGGTTGCATCTTGGGAGGAAAAAAACTGACAAGTTGCTCAACTTTGTGATATCAACATACAAGAACCATGTCAGTAAAGGATGGAAATATCGGTGGTGCCGGACGGCCCGCCTCCATGACAAAAACCCCCATACATATTTATCAGAAAAGAGGGAAGAAATTTGATATTTGTCTATGGAAGACTTATTGGAATTAAAAAAAAAATTCATTCTCATATTGTGAGACTTTTACTTCAACTCCAGAAACAGTTTAAAGCAGGAATTGTAAGAAAAGGACATCATCTGTACATTGTCTCCATTTCGTGCATCGTTCATCTTCACCAAAGTGATCTGATTGAGATGCTTGTGAGATGAGATGCTTCTAGCATCTAGAGTTTGACTGTATGATTTTGTGTGCACATACGTTTCATAGTCATTCCATGGTTTTCAACATTTTCATCCGTATTAGTCAGTTTTTGCTAGATTCACTGTTTGAATCCTTATAGATGCATAAATTATTTCATGTTGCAATGCTGTTAATGGTTAAGTTGTGCTTTTTTTGTTCATTTATGTATTGGAAAGTGGCACCTTATCTTTATGGAGAAGTTGATAGAGTGCTGTTGTGGTGTAATTTATTTCATTTTTTAGCAATGGTAGGTTACAAGTTTAACTGTGTACTGGAGTATGCAATTAGCTGTGAAGACTTTTCTGAGAAAAGCCTCTAGTAATGTAGATAGAATAATTGTTGACCGCTTTGATTTAAATTGTAAGTATGTGAATATTGTAAAGGGTCAATCATGTCAAAAACAGAAGTGAATGTACAGATCAGCGATGTATAACCCCTGGTACAGCTGGCTATCTCTTACGTGCACTGGCACGATCAGTTTATCATGACTTCCTTCACAAAGATGTGGTCAGGGTTTAAAAAGGAACTTGGAACTCACACACAAATGCCAGTTGCCCAGTCCTCCTGGCATCAAGGCAGCTGAGAATGACAAATATATGTATTTTAAAATAATTCAGGAAACTGGAACAATTCATTTACTACGTAGGAATTCAGACTTAGTACATTTTGTATGGGTAATGTTACAGCACCAATGGTGGATGTTAGATAAATAGGACTATCCCCAAGTTGTTCCAGTATTGGTGCTATATCTTTTGTCAGATTTCTTAAAATGTTGGTGCCAAGCAGGGCAGACATATCACATTCACTGTAATCATGTAAATATGTACAGACCATTATATGCACAACACTGCTCATTGTTGTTCACAAAGTCAAGTTTAAAAAAATGTAAATAGCAGAGATTTATTCCAGTGGAATCTCATCCCGTGCAGCTGAACTTTGTGTTGCTTCAGTGTAAATCTCTTCAAATTTCTCAAGTCAACTTCTGTTGTTCTGGGCCTTAAAACTTATTACAGAGGTGGTGTATGTCCTTTGGAGCTTGTTTTCATTTGTTTGAAATAAAAGTGTTAGGCAATGTTTAGCAAAGGTGTTTGTTGATGAAAATGTTTTTATTCTTACCACTCCTAGTCTCACTTCTGCTGCATCCAGCATTGGGATGGTGAAAGACGTCTAGACGAAATCCGTAACAAAAAGATTGCGTCATTTTTGATTGAACTTTCTTTAGGTCAATATTGTACATTTTCTAATTTGATTTTTGAAAGAAAACCACAAAAGAGACCGCACTTAAGCTTTTTTTCCTCAGTTATAAAATCAATTGCACTGCCTGAACTTCCTTTTAATCACACTCTTTCATGTGTATCCACAGTAAGTGTCATCTTTACAATGTATCCTATTCTGAGTAGGTTAGAGTGTCTGGAAAAAATCTTGTGAAAGGATTGCATCATCCACGAATGTTTTTTGTTGCTAAATTGCACTAAGTACCCGCTCTTGTGCAAAAACAAAGAGCAGAGGGGACCTCACTTGAGGTAATGTTATTTGGGAACTTGCCAGACTGGAAAAAAAATCAGACAAGTGCACCCCACTTGCCTTCATATACCACGATGTTGAAATTCCCTTGTATTCAGAAGATTTGAATGCACCCAAAGAAAAGTAAATACATAACGCTGCAGCTTTTGTTATTGAAATATACGTCAATCTTTTGATGAGGGTCAATGGTTTATGGTCTATGACTGCACCATTTCCGCCACGCCATTGGTCACGTGGTTTTTATTTGTAAATAAGTATTTATTCAACATTAACCATAGCTAGCTCTGGTCAATAAACTTATGCTGAGGTTATTTTCTATTGATTCTTGATGGAAATGGTCCAATCAGACTTGGCAGACTGCCAACTTTGAACTGAGGGGGTTTCAAGGCACCCCACTATATTTACACCTTATCAAATGAATGAAAACTTAAACTAGATAACCTACTTACCTAAGGGCTATGGAAAAGGGGGCATTTGAAATCTGTACAGCCAGCCAGCTAGCTCTTAAAAGAGGCAGTTGACTATCTAATTTTGGTCACTTAACGTGGCACTCATTCTCATTATAGGTCCATTTAACATTCTTTTTATGTTATAAAAGGTATTTTATAAAAGCATTGTTTGTCCAAGAAGAACATTACTAACATCAGTCTGGCAACTTAAAAAATAAAAATAATTACTGGATTTATCTGTTCTCACACACACAAAAAAACACTAATTTTTAAACCTTCATTACTGTGGCTCACACCACCATCTCACATTCTCCAATAGATCTAGCTTTTTTTTTTTTTTTACTAAAAGTAGAAAATCTGGGAGTATTATGTCTAACATCTCAGAAAATGTCTAGAATGTTTATTTTAAATAATTCATTAACTTGTGTCTAATTGGTGTTGCCTGTTTTTTAAAAATTGAAAAACACTTAATTATGTCTTTTGGCACGTCATCATTTTTAATTGTTTGATGCTTTTGTAATTCTTAAAAAACTATTAAAATCTTCAATTCATTTACATCCATGATTAGCTAGAAAATATAGTGACAGGGCACAGTTAAATGTTTTACAGGAAACACAGCAAAACTGCACTCCCTTAGAAAGTAATTTGCAAATCTTCATTACCAGGCATTGTGAAAAAAATTAACTTGAGGTTGAAGACAAGTTGTGTCATTAAATTAGCATCTCATAAAACTCCTTTAGAGCAGTCCAGGTTTTTTTTAGTAATAATAACTTGCAAATATCATCCAAAAGGGCTACTTTTAAAACTTTACTTACTTAACCAGCATAACACTAATTACTTAATATTTTCCCATAATAGCAAGGCATGAATTAAAAATTTTATCCATGATTTACAGAATAAGCTAGATTTACCCCTTTCTATCACCAGAATAATCAGGATTTCAGAATAAGTAGAATTCACATATATATATATATCTTTAACTTCACTCATGAGTGGGCTGTCACTTTTCCAGATTTCACACCCCCCTCCCTCCCCAATGACAGGGAGGTCAGATACAAACAATACCATTATGGCGAGGTCAGATACAAAGATTCACATTTATTCAACTATATTCCAGTCATTTCAAGAAAAGCTCTCTGGTAATACTGTTGACATATATAAGAGAAAAAAAAAGCGTGTTTTTTGCAATTGTGCACTGGGTCCCAAAATTAATATTTCAAGAAAAAAGGTTTTACATTGTAAAATGGTACAAAAATATGAATCTGGAATTTTTCTAAGATATTTATAATATTATATTTTTAAATATCAGAGTGGAGTTTAGTCAATTTGTAAAATATCATTTTTTAACTCTCAAAAGAAAAAAGATTATCTAGTAATGGACTACTCATAAAATAAAAAATTAACAAAAGTTTGTGAAAAATTACACATTTTAAGGAATGAGGAATGTGGAATGTATCTACTTACAATGCTACCATATATATACACATGTACATGTAAAAGTGCACTTTTGTTTTTAGAAAAAATGTTGGAAAACAAATACAGCAAACTGCTACTGCAAAGAAAACTAACAAAAACAATCTATAAAGCTGTTCCTCTGTTACTTTGAAATTTGTTAAGTATGTCTGTACCACAAGTATTTTATAAATTAAGATATTTTACAGATTATCCAACACTTTGACATTTTTCCTCAGAGAATACAATGAAGGAAACATACTAGTACTCATGTATGTAAAATGACATCTAACAAAATACTACAAAGATAAGAATTAACATACAACAAACTAATAATTTTTTCAAGGTTTGTCTCCTGTAAATATTGTTAGTACGTAATTTTGTTTTCCTCACCGTCTTTCATTCTAACATAGATTATTAGATGCAACTGATGGTACACTGTACCTTTCTTGGTCAAACAGTTCAAAGTAAAAGTGGTTCAAATAATCAGTTCTAATTAGAAAAAAAAGGACTGTCTTGCTTGCTGGACTTGGGAGGCATGGCTTTCCTTTATTAGCCAGTGAGGTAATATGGTCAGTCTAGCCATGGAAGTAACCACTGGACTTTAGGTGCCACACAGTGTAGTTCACTTGCTTCTTGTTCCCTCCAAGCTCATAATACGGGAGGCTGTGCGTTTCACTACACTGTAACCTTTTTGTTTAAATAAAATTGGCAATCATAAATTGGTACAAGGAATATTTTGCAAGAAATATATTTCACAAAAAATTAAGTATAAATATAACTTGTGTGCAGAAAACCCATGAATAACATCAAAATAATGGCAATGTTTACTTAATAAAGTTCATTTACATTCAATGACTGTAAATCAAAGTTATTAGCTGTGTATATTACTGGTACATCTTAATGAATAAATATGGATTATATTTACCTGTCTTGGATGTATGGTCTCAACTTGGCCTGATCCCATCCCTTTGTGGAGATTATGATCAAAACACCTTTCTTATTTAAAATCTCCCACAGACGACGCAGCCAAGCTGTAACCAAAGAAAGCAAAGAATCTTTCAACTAATTTAAAACTAGTCATTCTTTATCCTTGACTTCTGTTCTCTTCTTCATCAAACTGGTACTGAGAGAAAAGTTTGCTTTATGGAAGTAATTTAAAAGACTTTTCATGTAATTATAATCTTGGTACAGAAATATAATGAATGTTGAAAAAAATAGACTAAAAGGCTGGAACATAAGACAAAAGAAAAAACTGAAATACAAATTCAATGGAGTATTTGCAAGACAGATGTCATACAGACAAATATTTTTTCTTAATTGTATTATTCAGCAATTTCGCCATAACATGAGAAATATCTTAAATAACAATAAAAATGGTAAATCTAAAGATATCAACCAAGGGTTAAGCAGTTTTATCCATAAAATAAAAATGATAAGTCATCATTTTAACATATAAATATAATTTATTTGACCTCTTTGTCTGAGGAAAAATTGCTGAAAATATCAAGACGATTAATTTTCCCTATGTAACCATCTACTGCAATCGACTTCATTTTGGGTGTTATGGTAACACAATAACAAAACAACAGCAAATAAGCAAATAAACACACTCAGTATAACTCAGTATATTAATATAATTTTAATATGCTTCTGTAATTTATTGCTGTCCAAGTGACATTAGAAACTGAAACGTCCATGCAATTTGGTTTTAAAAATGCATATTTTCTTAGATTATAAAATTTAGTAATAAGCAACACTGAATTTTTAACAACAGTCAATCAGATAAAAAAGGCTCCCTATAATGCAAAATTAGTATTGTTAAACATTTTCAGGGCAATTTACCAATCTGGTCACTACTCTAAACTGACCCCTGAAATGTGTGAAGATGATAGCCTTACATAAATTGTCTAGAAGAAAATGACGATCTAACATTCTAAAATTATCTTTTTGCCAGTTCTTTTTCTTTTAATATCTGTCTCATTTAATACCTACAGTTATATAGGCAAGGTGATTTCTCTACAGACCACATTAAAAACTACTAATGATAGGGCTATCATTCAGTTTTTGCTCCAGAATTTTAGCAGTGAAATTTTAGCAGTTTTACACTGGAATTTATACCAAAGTCACTATCTCTGTACAGTGCTTGTAGCTGATGTTTAACTGAGAGCATGCCATTCAAATGTTTTAAATAAACTGTCTGAAATCGGACATGAGCCTAGGTTTTAGAAAAAAAAAATTAACATTTATTTTTGGGACCAAACACCTTTTCTAAACAAACACCTAATCTAAATTTTTTGGTTTTATATGCTCTGAGGTCACATAAAAAATGAAGAAATCCACAAATGCGCAGAAAAAACTCATGTCTGCTTAATATTTGAAATCTCTTCCCCAATTCTCCACAGAAATAATTCAGTAGAATCTTGACAATTTTAGTAAAAGGAGAATAGTGTAGTTATTCAGAAAGAATAGTTGGCTAGTTTCTGAAGGGAAAATTATATAATCTAACCTTCTTAATACATACCCTTTGGGTTCATGACTCTGTCAATGTTCTCAAAGAGAACAACATCATAGGTGCCTATTTCATTTGGCAGCCATGTTAACTGTAAGTATTCAATAAGAAAGCGCCATACATAGAGGCAGTATGATCAATGGCATGATCAACATAAAAAGTAAATTCTACCACAAAAAACATCAAAGTATTACCAAACCTGATTCTACGAAAGTACTTAAAACATAGCTTATAATGATGGATGAAGGTAACTTTCAGCTTTACATTTTTTATTAGAAATTTAGGTAAAAACGAAAATACCTGTTTAAATATCACATTGCTAGCACTGGTGTCTCCAAGTACAGCTTCATGTTTCTCTCTTTTGTTGTCACTGTTCACCACTGTGTAGGTCAAAGACTTGCCACTTTGCAGACTGATGGCTGCATCCAAGAAACGCCCACAGAAATCCACAGCCACAACCTGCACAGCATATAAACACAACATCCTTTGTGTATCATATATGTAATCATTATATTACTAATCAGCGATCCAGATACATAATAAATCAAATCTTTCATAGTGGAAAATGGAAATAAAACAGAAAAAAGCCAAGGAAGAAAACTATGCCAATACTGCACCTCTTCAAACTGCTTCGCCAGCTGGAATGAAATTTTCCCCACCCCGCAGCCAATGTGAAGAATGCGTCTGGTCTCAGTTCCATGCTGCTTCACAGTACGAGTCACATGCTCCAACAACTGATCCAAGAACTTGGAGCCAGCTCCATATTCCAGCTGTAGTTGTCTGTTTAGGGACTCTGCGGTGTCGTAATGATACTGGAGATTAGTACTGGGGACCCAGGTGAACCCATTGGGGAGGTTAACTTCTTTGGGGTCAACTTTATCTGAAGAGAGGAATATAAAATTAAAAGATTATGAAGACATATATCTCAGGAACATTTGTCAACATAAATTCTGCAAAGAAGGTTTCATGCACTCGTACAACTGCATCGAACTAAAAAATTCTCGAATTGTTCTCTCTTTACATTGTAATACTAAATAAAGTGATTTTTTAATGTAAGTTTTACAAAAACACCATCAAACCATTCTACAAACTGACAAAAGGATTCAGGAAAAAGTGAAGACATCAATTTAAATCTATTAATTTCAGTGGATAATCAATGGAGAATTACAAATGACACCAAAGAAAATTTGGCACAAATTGGCCTAGAAATTTATAACAAAAAAAAAAAAAAAAAAAAAAAAAAAGGAAAAAAAAAGAGAGAGATATGATTCAAAAAGATATAAAATGGCTTGATAATCCCATTTCTAAGAAATGCACAAAATGAACATAAATTATTAAAAATTATCACATTAAATAATTTTAATTTCAGTAGAGTACAGCAGAGAAAAATTGCCAAGTTTAAAATTTCTCAAGACTCCATAAATCATAAAATTCTTAGTTGTGTTTTGGTCCAAAGTGTTGGAGTTTGTGGCAACTACGTATTGTACCTGGCATTCACATGTACCCTGATCATACCTTCAATTCCTACTCCCATAACAAAGACCTCCGTGTCCACTAATCTAAGGGGAGTGGGCTGAGGCCCAATACTTTCCACAAGTCTGAAACCAGCATGCTGGAAGAAATGCCGACGGAAACTGAATCTTGCAAAGCGCGATGCCGAATCCCCAGTAGTAATCCATGATCCTCCCTGTAAAACAATAACTCAAATTTTCAAAATTCATTTAGTAACACTTAACCCATTTGTATCCTATTTGGTATTTAAGTAGCCTTAAATATTGTATCATTTGGTTTTCATATCCAGAAGAAATTCTTTAATTTATCTCAACACTAAGACCCCATTCTCACAGATTTTAGATCAATCTATCCCTGTGGGGAGTCTCACTAGATTACTGTCAGCTTAGCCGGCTTAAATGTCTGTCCTGCCTACTAAAAGCTGTAAGGAGGTAATTAACTACCGTGCGCGCTTAGCTGACAGCAATTTAGCATAAACCCCCAGGGAGTTAGGTCGATCTAGATGGATCGATCTAAATCTATGGGAATGCAGTCTAAGAGTGGCTTTAAGCCAAGTAGGAAAAATTATAAACTCAAAATATTATTGGCATATCAGTACATATATCATTTTTTATTAGTTTACTTATATCAATTTACTTTTTTATCCAAATTGCCCTTACAAAAACCCTAAATAAATAAGATTGTCTTCTTTTGACCAATTTGTCTTTTTGTACCTTCAAGGTTTTGAAATATGATAAGCCACACAATTCTTCAGAATAAAACCACTGAACTTCAGAAAAAGAAAGAAGAACACTGACTTCATTGGCAAAAGAAGAAAAAATATAACTTTATTATAGAGAAAAATCTAACCATGAATTAACATTATTAGTACAAACCATAATCATGTTGTGCCGTCCATCAAAACATGGTGTAGAAAAGTCATCATAGAGCCAGTGCGTGTCTTGCCCAGGGAAGCCATTAAAATGGTCCTCCGTCCACTGCCACACATTGCCAAACACATCATGGAAACCAGCACTGGTGGCTGGGAACATGTTCACCGGCTGAAAGTTAATATATTGAGATAATCAAAACATGTGAGTAGAGCTTTTAACCTTCGTTATTATATGTTCTTGACACAAAGTTTGGTGAAGATGATGATGACAATGACCATGATGGTAAAGACATACTGAGTACACTAGTACTGATGATGATGATGGCAAGCTCACTTTTCTTATCCAAACACTTTAATGTTAAAACAGTTAAAATCTTCCTTGTGTCCGAGATTTAAAAATCATTTTTGATCTCATTCATTTGAATCTATACATTAATAACAGATAATATTAACAGTGAAATAACAAATAAAAATAAAATAAATAATCAGTAACAAAATTTGAAGACATTTGAAGACAAAGACACTAACTGTTGAAGAACCATAAATAAATCTGATGTTGGCATTGCAGTTGTCTTGGTACACAATGTCACATGCCACTCCTTCCTTCACATCTTTCTGTTCGCCCCGCATCACGTGGTACTCGGCTTCTGTGGGCAGACGATAAGATGGACCTTTCCATTTAGCATAGGCCTTGGCCTCGTGGTAGTTCACTTCTGCTGGCCAGTCCCATGGCATATCAATGACATCATAAACAGCACGGAGTCTGAAAGATATATAGCGAGGACTATAATACATGCTGTTTGTAGAAATACCAAATAATCAGAAACCGATGGGAAATTTAAGGAATATGACTTTGATAACTTACACACTTGATTCAAAATTCACAGTATAAAACATAATTGTATTCTTATATTCAGATCTGCCTGCTTTATTAAAATGGTCAGCATACAACTTATAAACAGCAAATTCATCTTCATTTTTTTTTTTTTTTTTTTACTTTTCTAAAAACCTAACTGGTATAGGGTAAGAACTATTCCATACACAGACCTGAACTTTTCGTTGGTGCCTTCCATATCCTGGGGTCTACAATGTGAACTTGCTGAAAGATTAGAGCCACATCCATTCTTACACCCTGAAATGAAGATCATTTTTTATTACATACCTGCTCTTCACCAATTATCTATTTATAGTTTTTTCTCAGTTTTATTGGCCTGTAAATTTACTATCACTGCCTGTAAGAAAAGTAATTTGTTTTTAAATGATGTATTTTCAAAAAAAATCTAATGATAAAAAAGACTTGAAGAAACAATATCATTATGATAAGGAAAATATCAAGAAAGGAAATACGCATATATCATAGGTGGATTTGGGCCATCTTTTCTAGTGTTTTTTTAAATAGACTTTTTAGTTTTTTAAATTGGTAGTCTGATTTTGTTTGGTTACGTAAGTTTTTCAATAAATTTGTCACTAAGTCCTGATATCTACACTGAGGAAGGACTCTGTTTAAATTCATTTTAGCCAAAAAATAAAAAATAATCAAATATTAGCAAGTGACTGAATAAAATTATAATATGTATCACATCTCCATTTTTAAGTGGAAGTTAAAGACTGCTGTTGGCACAAAACAGTGTGTGTTAAAAGTCAAGGTCCCCCATACCTTGACTACACACCCAGTACAGTGGATGGTTAGCCTGTCTGTACTGTTTCCAACTCCAGCCTTCCTTGCTCCAGAACTGACTGTCCTGATACCCTCCACTCTCCACAAACTCCATGTACTCCCTATTGGTGATGATGTACTTATTAGCTCGGAATGGAGGTACTCTGAAAGTTGGAAATATTCAGATTTATGTCTTTTGCTATAAACAAATGTAACTAAATACCGAAATTTAAAATAGAAATTTTCTTTTAATCCTGTACGGATTTGTTAAATTTACAACTTGTAACACCTGGCAAATTTCTAGATAGCTGAACATTTAATCTAACTTTAAGTTCTGCCCTGTATTGCCAATGGCTAATAAGAGTAGGCTGTAAGGTGCTGACCCCTATTGCTGATAGGAAGTATTAAGTAGCATATAGTTTCTTTTGATTGTCTTTTAATAAGATTCCTTGAGGGGGTTTAAATTTCCTAGCCAGAGAGCACAGCACATTCCTTTGTTCAGTTCTAGTGAAGAAGAAAACATGTTTTGATAATCCCAGAAGTTGTTCAAGCTTAGCGTATACCTTTTGAGAACCCTGTCCAACCAGGAATGTGAGTAAAATTGTTTTTAATGTCATTTTTTGTAACTGGAGAGAAATTAAGATGCGCTTAGTTAAGTGAATTGTTGTTTTTGGCTTGTTTTTGAGTTTAACGCTTACTGAGAAGCAGTTTGACCCACATTGATGTTTTTGAGTTTAACGCTTACTGAGAAGCAGTTTGACCCAAATTGATTTTAATTGATTTATCTACTCTGTACTAGTTCTCTGCTGTGAAATTGAATGGTTTTTATGACACACGTGTCTTGTCTTATGCGGTAGAATCTTTATAAGTAAAACATGTTTAAGGTTCAATCGGATATTCTGAAGGAGTAATGTGCTTCATGCTTTCTCTGCTGTCTCATGTTACACAAATTGTGCTAGTTGTCTCAAAGATGTTGGTGCCTAAATTGTGCTGTATTGCGCTAGTGCAGATTTCTCAATTACAGCATTCTAGATTATTCCCATTGTAATTATTGCATTAAAGTAGTTAAGTATTTTATTTATTTATTTATTTGTTTAATTTTTTTATTTCAGTTTAAACCATCGTTGATTGATGAGTATTTTATAACTGGTAAAGACAGAGAGGAGAATAAACAACTTATATTATTCCAACAAGACTATTCCTTTTCTAACACTACAGGTGTTATACAACTAGTTTTGCACTTGTTGCTTCCCTGTTTTAAATTTAAGCATCTTCTCATTGTTTTCTTCCAAAATCGATAAAATAATAGAAGCATCACACCTAGAGTTAGCCTTAATAATCATCCATTACAATACATACACAAAAAAGTTCTTTAAAGTATTTCACGATATGCTGACTAATATCAGTGGTATAACAATATTGCAGCATAAAATGCCCTTTGGCTTTTTACATACTAAAAAAATATCTTTTGCGCAAGCAATAGTGTACACCTACTTGCACTCCAATTCTCCATACTCGTTATCCCAGCCGTATGAAGGAAAGTCTTGTGGCTTTCCCAGTGTCACAGTGGTTTGTTCAGAGACAGTAACCATTGGGTTTTCTTTAACACCTTCCCCTGTCACCAATAAAGATACATAATAAATAAAACTTTGTGTACTTTCACTTGGAAACACACTACTGAATCAGGATTTTTCCTCCATTGATTTACACAGATTTATTAATTTACATAAATCAATTTACAATGCTCAGACATTCACAAATTTTTACTCCCACCAGTTATGATAATAAGTTTGCAGACATAAATAAAAAGAAAATTATACGGCAACAACTCAGTTTTCAGTAAATAATATGTACTCTCAAAATAATATTGCAAACATAATAATTTCATTATTCTCCTGTACCCACCCCATGTCACTGGGCCGTATTTCCATCCTTTGGGCCTGGTGACCATGTCTACTGGCAGCTGGCGGATCAATACAGACGAAGTTTCATGGTGAATGCGTTCATGCTCCATTCCCATAAACAAGGACCACTGAGGCAGAATGACAGTGATTTTTGTCATATATATTTAAATATATGATTTCATGATTTTTAAAACAATCAGTATACTTGTATTTATAAGACAACGTGCATAAACCAGTTTTAAAAAAATGAGATTAAAAAAAAAAAAAGAACCAAATGGTATCTTATTTATCATATCTAAATAGAATGTGAGCCATTATATGTTGAACGCAAATAATTTCATAATCAATAGAATGTCAAGAAGAATTACATACATAGATTTGGCTAATATGCAATGATTATTACAGCATCTGTGTGTGTGTGTGTGTGTGTGTGTGTGTGTGTGTGTGTGTGTGTGTGTGTGTGTGTGTGTGTGTGTGTGTGTGTACAAAAACAGCCACTCACCCAGGGGCTCTCCTTGGTGATGGGCAATTCCAGAGGGGTGTTCTCAATCACCTGCAGTATCACTTCTCTCACCTGCCTCCTGTACTCTACCACATCCTTCAAGTTAGGCCACTTGTACTGGCCACCCATACGGAAGTTCTCCTGCAAAATGTTGACAAAACAATTAGATTACATGTTCAGTTTGGTGACAACAGATAATTACAAGGTTCTCAATATCAGAATTCCGTCAGCCTCCCTGATTTTCATGTGGCTACAACTGTTACAGCCATTCTTCAGAACTTAAAGTTTCACTCCCAGTGTAGAAAGTTGAGAACATTGCAAAATATCTCACATGATCAACATCTCAACCAAAGTGATAAGTTTCTTATAATTTAGAAAATGAAGAGAGAGGGAGAATTAGAAGAAAAGGAAGTGAGCCTGTTATGATATGTGTGATAAAATCATGCATTACATCTAATTTTATATGACATTAGAAAGGTTGAAGTAGTACCTCTTTTGGTAAAAGGAAAAAGAGCATGATACAGTGACAAATTGACATGTCTTACAGTGTCATCCCACGACATCTCATCCACTCCAGTCTCAAAAAGGGATTCATATTCTGGATTAATGCGTTTCTGAAAATTATTTCAAAAATGATTTCAAGAAACAATTTGTTTAACCATTCTTTTATGAGCAACTTATCATATACAGAATTTAAATGTTTTAAAGAATATAATTAGAAACCCCTGGTTAGGGTTAAAATAGTAGCATACATTTCTACACAAATAATTCATGCCATACAGGGAAATTAAATATAAATTAATTGTAAAAAGATATACATATTAAGGTCAATTAATCTACTCCTTATTCTTGATAGTGCATAGTCCTAAGAAGAACATGTCTACTAATTTTTACTAACTGTCCTCCTGCAAGTTAATAAAAAAAAATAAAAAAAAAACAACTAATTTTCCAGATACTAACTGTGATCAAACCTCCCAGAAACATCTTGTTCACATACACGCATGCAGTGTGGGCGTAGTAGAAGATCAGGGGCAGACGAAGCCGATCCGGGCACTTGTATATGGCACATTCCTCTGTAAATAAAATGATCACACAGATATATATCAACACAATAAAATGTCAGTTAATCATTCTCTGAGATAAATTCTTACTCAATTACAGTTTAACAGTTTTACAAAGTACTGACCAAAAATTAAGTAGTCAACACAGTTTTCAGTAGTGGCTTTTATCAAAATTGATTTAAAATGTGTTAAGAAGTCATTAAGATACAGTGAGAATTCACTTTAAAGGAAGCTAAAGCACTTTTGCAGATTTCTACTCTTCTTTTACCTTTTAACCCTGTAAAAATGCTCTCATTCAGGTCATAACTGTTCTCAAAATATGCCTTGATCTCACTGTGAATAAAAAAGCTTGTTATTGTTGTCAAAGCAAAAAGAGATAATAATTCCTGGCATATGATTCCAAAAAGAGATAATAATTCCTGGCAAATGTTAAATTGCTGTTCATATTAATTTTTATTTTCACTTAACTCCATCCACCTTTGATTGGATACACTTTCAGATGCCTTTTGATTCCTGTGTTTCAAAATTTCAACCTTTTACAAATTTGAATCTCAATCTTCAGGAAATATTTTTAATTGGTAGCTGCATGTCCTCAACTTTCATTTCTTAGAAATAAGACGGTACTAAAATTATTGTCAATACAAGAAAAAAATCTTTCACTACACATCATTCAATCATTTCTATAACACCCAAACCCAAGAAGAAAACATTAAGATATGCAACACAGCTAAGTCTGTGTTGATAAATAAGCTAGAACTGAACAGTGTTGCAGTGTCCCAGCTATCATTTTGACAATGATAACCTAGATCTAATTTAAGTGTGGTACAAACTCATCAATGGCAAGGCATGACGCTGCACTTTTTACATGTGATACAGTCTCCTGTCACCAGGGTACCCAAAAAACAAACTATGAGCTAAGTAAGATATTGTTTGTTTTTATTGAACAAAACTGGTATTGACCAGTGTTGACTCAAGCTACATTGAAGTAGTGAAATGTAATGCAGTGTAAGCATACAGCCTGTACACCTGACACTAGTCACGTCAGGATTATACACATGCATGACTACACAAGAGTACCTATTTTCATTATTTAATATTATGTAATATATATAAATTATAATAGTTATGTGCTAATACCTATGCACTGACAGGCCTTTAATTGTTTATGTAATTGTATCTTCTAGACATTTGCATTGGTGAGTGCATGTTGGATTTATGTACCATTCATGAGTGTGGGAATTACAATGTGGAAACTAGCACAAGGTTTCTCCAAGATTTGATGTATTGGTAAGTGCTAGATTTATGATAATAATAATATAAAAATGATGGACATAGAGATTAGACCAGAGGCTTTCAGAATTGTGGAGCAGACTGTTAACAACTTCTGTTATATCACTGCTTTTAATTGATTCCCATCTTACTTTGAAATTGAAAGTGCATGTTTGAAAATGCTGGATGTTGGACTGTCATTGGATGCACTTGAAAAACAGTTAGCGTACTAAACTTTAAAGGACAATTAACAGGATACGGACACTTCAGGATGAGTTTATCTCTGTATAATTGTATGATCTGTATGATTTACACCCCATTTCCATAGATTAGATCCAACTACTTTAGATCGACCTAACTCCCTGGGGGTTCACGCTAAATAGCTGTCAGCCGGGCGGACACAAAAGTTAATTACCCCCTTTACAGCTTGTAGTAGGCGGGACGGACATTTAAGTCAGATTATCTGAAAGTAATCCAGTGAGACTCCCCACGGGGATAGATTGATCTAAAATCTATGGGAATAGAGCCTTAGTTAAGTAGGTCATTGTAAATAAATTGTTAAATTTTGAATTGCATTACTGATTTTTGCTGGCATTTAGGGGTATTCTGACACAACATTTTCAAATATCAATATTTCATTGTAAACAGTACAGCATTTTAAAGAATGAAAAAGACAAACAATAATGCATGTCTTATATCATCTTGTTTCTTTAAAGGCATTTTTTAGATCATAATAGAATGTGATAGAAATTCTAAAGAAACTTTCATAACCCGTTTTGTTTTTTACTTTGGATGCAATAGGCATTAAGAAGAAACCCCATATTTAACAAACAATAGCAAATATGAGATTTTTGAACCCAACACACACACTGTTATAAGAAGCTAAATGCCAAAGAGAAATTAACATTGATCCAAGAATATATATATACAACAGCATGGGTTGCATGTATGCTCTAAAGGTTGGTGAAAATTGATTTTGGATACAACAGATCCATAAAGATCATGCAGGCTCAAATTGGAGCTGCTTTTGTTCATCGAAGATATCAGGCTTCAAACCAAACCTTTGCTTTCCCTTTACACATGGCAATACAATGTGCTTCCATCACAGAGTTACCATGGAACACATAACAAACATGACCACACAGAACTCGCAGACCTGGGCACATTTCACAAAAGAACATAAGACCGCATTCGTAACCAGTTGATCTGAACCAGTGGATCAAATGTAGCACACCCACTTTAAAGTATATGCCGAGATTTAATTGCTCTGCCCCTGCCCTGCTGGGACGATATGCATGGGAGGTGGGAATCCATTGTCAAGCGGGAGCCATATTTGACCCACGGACTAGTTAGTCTGCGGATCAACTGATTGTGAACAAGGCCTTACACCTGGATAGACTATAAATTGATCTTCACTTGAAGGTCAAAGTTTGCAACACCAGGCCACCACCTGCCCAAACATTTACAGAATCCTGCTAAGGTAGGAGGCGAGTAGAGGGGGGTGGTGGGAAGAGAAGGAGGGGGTGGGGGTGCTTATCAATGCAAGGGAACTACAGAGGCTATGTCTGATCATTGGACATAATCTTATTCTCAAGATGACTGTTACCTATCAAAATATTGTTTTTCGCCTACTTTTCAAAGCTAGTAAAAAAAATTTAGACCATGATCCAACTACATAGCTGAAAGAATTTTTTATTGCTTTATAAAGCATCAGCCATTCATTTCTTGTCTTAAAACAGTCTCATTAGTTGTGACATAATGATATTTAGAAATGATAACAAAATAATGCCTTATAATCATTCTTTTTAAATAATAAAAAATGTGTATACAAACAGAGATGTGAAGACACTAAGGTTGTTTTTAGTGCAGTAAGAGGAGTGCTAAGAAGGCATTTTGTAATTTATATACTACAGAAAAGAGAAAAACATAATATTTTACAAAAATAGAGTTTATAATACAACTGTTTCAATAAGCAGAATGATAAAAAGAGTGTGTGGAAATGAGAGAAGCACATTCCAGATGATATTATTACCTGTAAAACTTACACAGAATAAAAAATATTTGTAAGAAATACAGAACATCCAGTTGTAATGTAAATTAAATTAAATTCTGAAGTAAAACATAATGAATCTATGGATTTCCAACAAAAAAAAATGTACAAGTGAATGCCTAAAATTACCCTGGGCCACTGGTAGTTAGATCCATATTTAATTGTATGGGCTGTAATATCTCTAATCCTAGCAACACAGTGCTGGCCAGTGCAGCACATTAAAAGGGTGAGTGGCTAAACCAACTGTGATAATCTTGAGAAGAATAATTCATTTCATTCCTAAGTAAACTTGTGGAAACTAGAACTTACGTAACATGTTCACTATATATAAAAGCCAAAAGCTATATCGATTACTATGCATGTCATGGTGACATTAACAACACAAACTCTGCTCATAAGCTAAGGTGTGTATTTTCAATAAATTCAAGATCTTTTCAGCAAGCAGAACTTCATCTAATACAAGAAGAAGAATTCAAATTAGAGGACAGTACATTACAAACATTTTAAAATATCTAGAGGTCTTAATTTTATGCCACTTAATTATCATTCCCAATTCAGACCTTTAAAAAACCCTCAAATAGAAAATACCTGATGTCTTTATTTCCTTCTGAAATGTCAAGAAGACTATGGCAGTCAAAATTAATCTGAACTTGTTTTGAACTACTAATACAATACTTAATCAGTGTGGAGATGAGTTGGGCAATGCTTTGTGAGCAGGTATATTTGATTAAGGATAAAAATTCACTGATACCTTTAGGCCAGCTATAAGAAGGCTTTCAGTTCTTTTAAAAAATAACTTGCATTTAACATGTTGCAATAATTATCACTCACTGCAAGCAAAATTGAAATATCATATTTTCCAAAACAAAACTTTGTTGACAATACAAAAAGACAATGATTGAAACTTGGTGAGTGAGTACTAGTAGGATGCTCCTTGGGAGGCACTATGTACCCCACTATAATTGAAGAATTTTGCACAAATTTGATATTCCATCAAATGTAAAATTTGAAATTATCGAGTATTATTACCATATACTTAAGACTGCACAGGCACGTGAAGCGTGTGGTGTTGTCAGATTCAGATTCTTTATTGACAAACACCTTCACATAAAGGTACAATCAATTACAATACGATACTAGTGGCTAGAACATAGAACAGACAAATAAATAGATAAATAAATATATATATATACACATATAGATTATGTTGTCAGGGCTCATTCCCATTGAAACTCTCAGTCTCCCTAGATCGATCCACCTCTGTGGGGACTGTCGCTGAATGCAATCAGTTTAACAGATTAACACATCTGTTGTTTCCCACCTATCTGTATAGCCACCAGCTTTTCTGTATTCTTCTCAACATCAGGAGGAGGTGTGTTAATGTGTTAAACTAATTGCATTTAGGGAGAATACATTTAGGAAGATCATTGGAGATGGAACAATCTATGTAGATTGTTAGTTTCAATGGGAATGAGCTCTAAACACCAATTGGTGTTACATAATAGTTCACTATCTGCTCAATTCCTACACAAATATCGTCTGGATAAGAATTATCCTCAGGTTGATAAGACCCTCAATGAATTAAATGTATCAACATGTAAAAGGAAACATGGAGAATCACCGCTGAAACAAATCTTTCAATACTGCACTCTTAAATGTAACTAACTTTCATTTTAGAAGGGGTGGGGGGTCCAAGTGAATTTCAGAAATCAGCGCAGGTGACTATGTATATTATGCTTGAGAGAATGAATGAGATGCTGTAGTTGTAAGGGAAAAAGATATCCTGACATAAAAAAAAAATGAAAACACATCAATGTTTTCATTCATCAAGTCATAATATACGTAGAATTGCTTTTTTTCTGAACTTACCACAATATGATATAACCTGTACTCAATGTAGGTTAATTATACATGTTAAATTAACATAGTAGTAGATCTACTGAATTTTACTTTCTATTTGACCCATGCGCGACTTTAATGGTGCTACATGTATCATAAACCTTTGAAGGGCAGAGGGTAGAAAAATTCAAATAAAGGAGAATGGCTACATTTACACTTTTCATTATGTTAATTCATATGTAAATACAGATAACTGACATGCAGAATTAAACATTTTGCTCAAAAGATTTAGCCAAGCAAATAACAGTTTATATTCCTATAGAATAAACTGTTTACATAACATGATGTTACTTTACCAGTAAGTAGGCATTGGGTTTAGTGCATTTTCTATGTAAAGGAGATGGTTTCAAGATTCTTTTCTTTTAATTGCCAAGAAGGGAGAAGGTAAGGCAATCTTAGGAAGTTCCCATAGAAAAAATTCTTGCAAAAGGAGATGAGAAGCAAGCAACCTCCCTCCCAACCCATCCACTTTCAAATGTGAGTTGGGGCTTCAGGATAAACCACCATTTTAATCTCATCTGGTCTTTAATCAACCCAAGCCAAGAAAATGATAACTATGTAGAAAAACACATTCATCAAGAGAAGTCTACTATCCATACCATTCATCTACCTGTATATTCCCTACTACTCATAATAACAAACCTTTTAGTACAGCAGGAGAGATCACATGGTTTCAAGGACTGGAAAGTCTCCTGACCAGAGAGCACTAGTGGAGCCATCTTTCTGAAAAATAAATAAATAAAAGGAAAATAATATCCGATTTTTTTCTTTTGCTCAAGTAAAATTCTTTAAAAATGTCTAATTGTGCACAAGTGATCCTATATGTTTCATTCATTTTTATTTCAAATTTTCCTATTAAAATTCTAGTTTTGTATTGAATGAATGAAATGAGTAAATGACTTATCTACGTGTGTGTGTGTGTACATATACATGCCTTCCCCTGCGTTCATGTAGCCTTCTATGCATGACTATTTCATACCAGCCTCACCCAAGAGCAAATCCAACTTACCATAAGGATAAAATGATGAACTTAGGTTCAAAGAGAAACTTAACAGTTCTTTCCAATTATATATCAGCTACCAGATGATGCTTATTGGCTAGACCGATTATGTGGGCGGAGCCAAGCAGAATTTGTCTCTAGAAAATGACTCAGCACTTTTGAAAAAGCCACTAAATGCATTTACCCTCTCAATTACAGCTGACAATTATGTGAATTAAACCTTTAACACAGCTTAATGGAGTCAGTTAAACGTTTGTTCTCAGAAAACATCTTAATAATATCCTTTTTCAACCCTACATAGATCCTGTTTCTACCTAACTGGACTTTCACAATTACAAAATAAGTCATTTCCTCCTTGCTTTGTGGGCTTAATAGTAATTTTCTCCACTAAGTTATAAGGTTTAAATGTTTGTTTATTTATAATGTAAGCAAACTGAAACTAAAGTAAAGTCTACTACATATGTATACAATGAGGGTTTTATTACAGGTCAGTGCTATATCCAGGGCCTATAGTAATTAGAGATCAAACCAAGAGATCCAAAAGTTTCTATCCCAGGCACCTCGGTAGGATATTTCAATTATAGTTTACTCACTAAAGTTATGCTGATCCTTATAAGAATCACAAAAAAAAAAAAATCCTGAAAACATTTTCATCCAAAACCCCCATTTTATTTCTGTTTTTTGTGAAGTTTTAATCTTAAACCTAAATTTTAAAATGTTGGAAATTTTTTAAATATATATGCAGCACATGAACAAATTTGAAATGTAATTCCAAGAATTCAAAAATTAATATGTCTTTAGTAATGTATATCATCCTATCCTTATAATGTGAAGTATGCATGTACATACGCAATTATTCAGCAACTTTTTGAATCTTGACAAAGCTTGATGGTCCACATATCATTGGTATATATTAGAAAATTTCCTGAAAAATTTGTTAATTATATTTTTTGCCAAAATTTGATGTAATTTTTTTTCTAAATTAAACTGAACCATGAAATGTATATGATAACATTATATCTATATCAAGAAATTCTATTGCTAGGTTACGCATTGTAAGAACATGACCTTTAAAAAAGGATTAGATGTGAAAAGAAATAAGGTTGTGTGATGGCATTCCATATACTGACCCCCTACATCTTAATCTGTATTAATAATATGGGACCTTATACTACCATTCCAAGGACTACCGTTCCTGTCGCATAAAGGTGCCTGGACTGCTGATAATGTAAAACTGCTTAGTCATCCTAGTTTTGAGTTGCATGAAGACCAGAACTACATGTGTACATAGACCCATTGTTAGTTTTAATGACAGAAACATGAAACCTGCAGATGTTTGCAAAGAAAAAAAAATATATACATTCATCAAACCAGTATATATATTACATTTTTAATTAACTTTTATAAAAATTTCTCATTAATCCATAATTCATTGATGCGGTCTTTTATTCAATTACTCTTCTTTTTGTACACAAGGGTCTCATTGGGTATTTTCCTTTCCCATCAGAGCCATTTTAAATTCTCCTGATATGTGTGAAAAGTTCATATCATTAAGCATGGTCTTAAGAGAACCCCATTCCCATGATTCATAAATACAGTTTTTTTCTTTGTCATTCATGAAAACAATGTCATTATACTTAGTGTTTTGCTGTTACACTGATAATAACATTAACGGTCCCTCTCAGTGATGAGTATTTAAATGTAAACTTTGTATTATGCCTTTTTGAGTGTACGTTTATCTATTTTTATTTACACTGCAATATGTCACGAGGATATTCCCGAACAGACAATGCAGCAGCAGAGCCCTAGCTGCTCCTGCATGCCCCCCCCCTCCCAGTGCTCACGTGTACATCTCAGAGATACACTGTACCACGGATGGCAGTGGAACAATCTCAGTTACATTATTCTGTGACACATGTTCAAAATTGCACCTATCCACGTGTTACGAGCGCAATACTGCCATTCATAATTTACCCGATTTACACATTCGTACAGTGAAGGGATACTGCACCGAGTGTGCAGTGATCTTAGCCTAACGGCGTGCGCCAATAGAGGGATTTCATGCATAAACTTATAAGGTCTATATATATACTTTCACGTTGGTAATTGTCAAAATTTGTCGTTTTCTGTCCAAACTTACCTTCAGTCAAATGTTCTTTCCAAGAAAGATGTGAAAAGAAAATGTGCACGCATCGTTGGTTGAGATCAATTGATTAGTTATACAACATGGAAACACGTGCTAGATGGAACGTGTTAGAAAAAAGCTCCTTGCTTCTTCCAGCAGGCGGGAATTGTTGTGGCCAAAACCAAAGATCAACAATACAATGTTTTTATAATATTGAAAATTGTGCTAACGGAAAAGCTACCAATTAGTTTTTAGATAACTGAACTCAACTCGTAACGTTTACATTAACACTAAAAAGCTCGATAAACGTAAACTCGTGAGTCAGTTTTAAAAATCGCTAGTGCAAACAGTTTATTGCACTTTTCTCAGATATGCCCTTCCATTAGAGTTTAGTTCAATGAAAATGTAAATGATTGTCGGAACCACGAAGCTTTCAACCTTCCAATTAATGCTCCTGAGGACTTGGCCAGTGAAGGAACAAAAGAGGACAAGATAAATAGCGCCATCTATCGACTTTCTTCCTAAAATGGCCACAGAGACAGAACCGACAGATCTTAAGTCTGTCCCGAATTTGAAAATATCTCGAAGTGAGAACCCAGAAATTGAGTTATCATTTGAAGAAGTTGAAAATTTGCATGTTTTTGACCAAATGGGAAACAAAATTAGGTTTGGAGATACATATGCAAACCAGAAAACCATTGTAGTATTTGCTCGGGTAAGCTAAACGTTTTGTTCGGCTTTGTATTTGTTTGTTTGGGTGTTGCTACATACAGTGTAGTTTGGTTTCATCCTAGGCTTCATCATTCAGAGTTTACATGAGACACAAGTCTGTCATCAGCTTACCTATTAATATAAGTAGCGGGGACATTACTCAAAGTCACCACAAAAGTTCATTATTAAAAGTTAAAAAATATATCACAGTTATATTGTGTACGCATGTGTATGTGTGTTCGTTTTTATGGGGGGGGGGGGGGGGGG